AGAAACTCAAACTCACGTAATTCTATTTAAAAATTACAAAGTTGGTTGATTAAAATTAAGTTTAATAAAAGAAAATTTATTTTGAAATTAAAATTATTTTCATAAAATTATAATGTTTAAGATACAAGATAACGCAGTTATACATGTACCTTACGAGAAACAATACAGAAGGTGAAAGAAGATCACACAACTTTATTGCAAATCGTTAAAAATATTTTATTCATAAATAAAATATTTAAATTTAAATTTTGATTATAATTAACATTGAAAGAGAATTTAAGATATGTAAGTTATACATAAATCTCTTATAATTTATTGAATAATTGAAGGCAATATAAATTACACATCGATGTTATAAAAATTTGTATAAATAAGTAAAGAAATGTTTAACTATTTAATTTATCAAAATTAGAAGTATGACTTAAGAAATTTTAAAATATGAAATTAATCCTATTTAATGAAAGAAGTAAATATATTTGAATTGTTAAAAAATAAAATTATTTAATAAAAAGATTTAAACTTTGTTTAATAAATTTATATTATATAGAACCCAATGTAACGTTGATACACATAAATTTTAACAATTCATAATGCATAAAAGTAGAATAGCTACACATTAGCATTATAAATTATTGTGTCAATAAAATAAATTCTATTTAAATTGATTGATTAGTAAAATAGTAATTATAGGGAATACATTTTGATTGATTATTAAGATAATTAAATTTTAATAACATATAATAAATTAATATTGTCTAAAGTATCAATAACATAGGTACACATAGACTTTATCAATTTATAACATACGATGGTAGAGAAACTACACACTAATGTTATAAATTAATGCAAACATGTATTATTTATTCATTTATTGTAAAATAAATTTAAAATGTAATTTATTCCATAAAAGAAATGAAAATATAAATATAAAATTAAATTATATTCTAAATTTGCAAAAAATAGTAAAAGAAAATAATGCTAAAGAACAAAGCCAAAAATAAATAAATGGAATAAATGCTAACAAAAAAGAAAAAAATATAAAAATTATTATGGGTAGTGTATATATATTATCCTACTTATCTTCCATTATTTTTAAGAGAAAAAGATAAATTTTATAACTAAAAGAAAAAAAGGTTAATGAGGTATTTTTGCTTAAAAAATAGGTTAAAAATAGATAAATAAATAAATAGATAAAAAATATTAAATAATAAAAAGGAAGTTTAATTCTAAAACAAATAAATCTTTTTCGAACATTAAAAATTTTCACATTTGCTTGGTTTGCAAACTGGCTACCTAAAATCGAAAGTTTGAAAAAAAAAAAAAAGATAAATAATAATGATTAAAAAATGGATAGCATAAACCGTGAAGATTGGTTCCGTGTGTTCTAATATGCTACTCTGAAGCTATGCTAACTTCCTATCTAATCACATATCACTTTTTCTCATTTCAACAGTACAAGTAATAATATATTATGCATATAAAATGAAAAAGTAGCAGTATTGACTTAAGATCTTTGGAATTTATTTTATCAAACCTTTCTTTCTTTTATTTTAATAACAAAATAATGAAAAATAAATAAATAAATAAATGAGAGATAAAAAGGACTTAGTTAACTAACCCGTAAACTACCTTTTCTGTCTTTATACTCCACTTTACGTTTTTTTGTTTAATAGAACTCAAGACATAGTCCATTATTTGTTTAACAGAGCTCAAGACATGGTCCAAGAGCAATATTCATACCTTAGAAAGTTAAGGAACATTTTAGATATGAGCAAAGAGGATGATGAGTGTAACACCCTTCCTTTATATATAAAAAATTTGCATTTATATATTATATTATTAAAACATGATTAGGAAAATTGGTAAAATTTGTATATCTTAAAAAAATGGTACAATATGAGAATACAAATTTATATTTCTTGACCAATATACAAAATTCCTCAATAAAAGGTTTCACTGTGAAAGTAAATGAAAATACATAAAAGACTTATACATTTACTGCATTAAATTTTTATTATATATGAGCAGTTCATCTCCCACAAATCCTTGACGAGTATAACCCTAGAACGGATAAACCATTTCTATTTCTTCTCTTTCATTACCTGAAAATAATCAGTAATGGTGAGTACTTCCTGCCCCACTAAGTCTCTTTTAATATAAATTAATTACTAGTAATTAGAGTTATAACCTAATATCCTATTTTGATTCATTATTAACATAGTACAATCCATATTTACATTCATCACATCCAAATACATACGATCATACAATTATCAATTAGAGCATATACCACAATTCACTCATCATACATACATTTTTATGTTGACCTGTATGTTATTATACATGTGTTATATCATTTCAATTCATATGTCATAATACATATGTTCCAGTAACACCGATCGATGTACTACAACACACGTATCATAACAACATAAATCGATCTGCTACAATACATACATAATAATCATACATATTCTATATCATATCCTATTTATAACACTTTTTATCATAATTGCCCCTGTGATCCCTTGAGGACTTCCTCGCATAGATAGCTGCTGGTTGACCGCAACATCACGGATACACGTGTGCCACCTTGGCCCCTTTTAGCAAATGTATAGTTAGGAGCTTTGTTGGGAGATGAGAGTGTGGCCTGTGAATGTTTATTTTCAATAATTTATTATGCACCATTTTTATTATTAACATTCACCATCCTTATTTCCTCAAGATTTCTCAAATCTTGTCCTTAACTCTATACCCAGTGTATCGATGTACTATCTATACTTGTTCTCTTTTTCTTTCTTAATATTTCTCATTCCACATTATTTCTATCAATCAGCATGTCATGATTCATGAGTCACAATTTATACAAGTTCTTGGATTACAACATATATGATATCATGCCCTTCAATGTGCTATAATTTATATCATAATCACTCTGTTCCAAGTTACTTGCACTCATGCATTATAATCACGCATCATATTCTTTCTCAGTCATATTCCCATTACTCATTCATATATTACATGCTTTCAAAATCAACCAACACTTCAATGATTCCTATGATTATGCTCATATTGTATACATTTCAGCTATCAAATCATATCTATACTTGTTGCATCATGTCAGTCCAACATATAAAGTTATCATACAATATCACATCATGTAATCAATACAATGCTTCAATCTTAGCACATAGATTACCACACAATATCACACCATACAATCAGTATAATATGCCGAAGGTCGAACACCTTCGGACTCAGCCCAACTCGTACAATCTTAATATAATCTTCTAACCTAAAGTTCATTATTTTGTGTCTTTTATTACTTAACTCATATACATCTTAAGTAACTTAGTTCTAAAACCTCTTAATGCTACTCAAGCCCATATTTTTTTTTTTAAAAATATGGTTTTATTAGTTTAAAATAAACCCAAAACCTCTCTTTATATTAAAATACATTTTCACCGTATGATTTCATAGAAATTATAAATTATTACTAAAATAGATTACTCAGATTCTCCTAAGATCACTATATATGTATATAAAACTAAAGCTCGAGAATACTCCCCTTACCTTGAAATGGATCTCAAAAACTATGTTCTTCGCGTGCTCTAAAGAAAAACTCCACGTCTCGATCTAAAATACTACCCAAAGACAAGAGTTATTCTTAACATCACAAGGTATATTTCTATTATGAAAAAGAGAAAAAAGAAATAGGAAGGAGATTCAAGGGATGAGGTCTAGAAACTTACTTAGATCCAAGAAGAACGGATGTTTGAGCTCAAATATGAAGGAAATCCAGAGTTAATGAAGGTTTTCTCTGAAAAGGGAGAGGAAGAGAACAAAGAGGATGAAGAGAGATATGTGATTTGGATGGAAATAAAGATTTTAGGGCGATAGTTCTTTAAATATCTCTCAAACTCGCGACTTTCTCGTTACAGTGAAAAAACTAGAAGTTTTCTTCCTTTGCTGTCTGTCATTCTAGCTACAGCGAGAGCTTCTCGCTACAGCGAGAGCTTCTCGCTACAGCGAGAGATTCTAGCTATAGCGAGAGGGCTCTAGAATATTCCATTTTTACCGCCTCATTCTCGTTACAACAAGATTTGTCTCGCTACAGCGAGATATCCTATAGTTCACATCAATTAAACACTTCTAATTTCAAATAACATGCACAAATAACTAACATTAATTGCAATAATAATAAATTATAAAAATGAGGGTGTTACAATGAGTGGTTAGAATAGTGGGCGAGGAGGACGAAGGTTGGCTGAAACAATGCAGTTTCTTCCCTCTGTTTTGGTTTGATTTTTTTCTACTCTTTCTTCTTCTTGGTATTAGTTTTTTTTTTCTAATATTCTAGTTCTTCATCTTTCTTTGCTATATTCTCTCCTTCTTTTTCAAATCTCTCCTAGAAAAAATGCTCTCTTGATTTTTTGTCTCCCTAAAAGCTTGTTCTTTCTTTTTAAAAATTTTGCTCTCTAAAAAAAAGACCCTCTGTTCCCCTCTCTTCCTTGAGATTTTATATTAGGTAAATTTAGAGTTTTTGCAAAATGACAAAAGTTCAAAGTTTTTTCTTTTCCATGCTCAGAACTAGTTTTTGATAATGTGGTATAAGCTTCTGTGGTGGAGGCTACTATTTTTGGGAAGTTAAAATTGTTTTTGTCAAATTTTTTTTATTTTTTTATAAAATAATTTTATTTTATTTTATTTTTTGAAATTTTAGAGGTAATTCATGGGAGGTAAAAAAAAATTGATATTCACAATATATATATATATATATATATATATATATATATATATATATATATATATATATATATATATAAAGGAAGTCCCTTATCAGCACTACGGATCATTACATGGTTGTCACTATAGATACATTATTAGAAACTCCTCAGCTCTATTAATTAAACTCAAGAAAGATAGACAAACCTTTATTTTTTTGAAAAATTGAGAAAAACAAACTCAAATTAATATCGTAGCTTGTGCTGCATGGTTTATCATCCTAGGAAAGGACGAGAAACGATGGGAATCAAGTACAAGTCTTGTTTTCTTTTAGCTGTCAGTCCAAATTGCTCAGTCATGTCCAATTCCTCAGCTTTCATTTCATTGGGAAGCTTCCAATCAAAGTGATATAACAACAATGCAAGAGCCAACTCAACATTTATTAAACCAAATATGCTACCTGGACAAATTCTTCTTCCAGCACCAAATGGAATGTACTCAAAACTACTCCCTTTGTAGTCAATAGAGCTATGAATGAATCTCTCTGGATAAAACCTCTCTGGTTCAGTCCAATATTTTGGATCTCTTCCAATTGCCCAAGCATTGACAATTATCCTACTTTTGATTGGTATGTTATACCCATGAATCTCACATGTTTGTCTACATTCCCTTGGAATTAAAAGAGGAGCTGGAGGATGCAACCTCAAAGTCTCTTTGATAACTAACTGCAAATATTTGAGTTCATTGATGCAAGTAGCATCAACCCTTCCCTTCATATTGAACATCTCTCGTACTTCATCTTGTACTTTCTTCATTACTCTTGGATCCTTCACTAACTCTACCATTGCCCAATCTACGATAACTGCTGATGTCTCACCCCCAGCAGCAAATATATCCTGAAAAGTGAGAAGTGCACGTTAAAAGATAAAGTGCATAGTTATTAATGTTCATTAAAAAAAATTTAGAAGTTAAAATTGTAATATATACACACACACACACATATATATATACACACATATATATATGTATGTATGTATATGCACTCGTGTAAGATAATATAATGATAAAATCTGACTTGTTGATTGGAAACCATTATTCATTCAGTCAACAATTTCAAAATTCTACTATTTACCCTCTAAAGTTAGAAACATTAATTGAAAACGGTTACTTTTTTTATATCATTAGTTATAAATTCTGTACTTTGCCATTGAAATTCGAAAGTGTATTCCTTAATTCAGAAGATCCAAATCCAAAAGGGGTAATCAAACTGCACCAATGATCCAAAAATGGTTAATACTGCACTGATCAAGTAGCTCACATGTGAGAAGTTATTGTGTGAAGTATTAAGCATTCATCTAAGTTCTACAAGCAAGAGCAAGATTATCATTGTAAAAATACTGCAAGATGTTATCATCCTTACCATAATTATACCCTTGATATGGTCATCAGTTAAGCAAATATCCTGCTTATTGTCATTACCATCTTGGAATTTTAGGAGAGCATCTACCAAATCTCTCTCTACTTTACCTTGTCTTTCTTTGGATTTTGACTTTGCCTCCTTATGTTCAATGATGATGTTTTCTAGTATTAAATCAATTTGTCGATTCAACCTCTCAAGTTTAGCCCTTAAACCAGTAACAAGTTGAAGCCATTTAGCAGAAGGAAACAAATCTCCTATCCCAAAGCCTCCAGCAAGCATTGCTCCTTGTTTTAGTAGTGATATGATTTTTTCATGGTCTTTGGATTTCTTGCCAAACACAACTCTAGAAATGATGTTATATATTGATAAAAGTGCTAGTTGAGAGATGTTGATGGGTGATCCGTTATGTGAATCAATCTCTTGTATGAGATTGGTGAGCTCTTCTTCTCTTATTGGTTGGAATGAATTGACACGTTTTTGGGTGAAAAGCTGCATTGTGCATACTTTTCGTAGCTGTCTCCAATAATTTCCATATGGTGCAAAAACAATACTTGTGGATGGCCTTAATTCTGCTATTAGAATATGAGGCCTTGATGCAAAGATGACATCATGGGTTGTCATTACCTCTTTAGCATACTCTGGTGAGGAAACAATGATTGTGGAGACCTCCCCAAGTTGTAGATGCATCAAAGGTCCATATATGTTAGCCATGTCTCTCAATTTTTGATGGGGTGTAGATGCAAGAAGATGAGGTATATTTCCTATAATGGGTAGTTTCCATGGCCCTGGGGGTATATTTGGAGCTATGTCAATTTTGTTGTGATTCCTCCACATTTGCAATGCCACTAACATGAAGAAGAAAAAAGGGATAATGGCTAAATAGTCCAGGATTTGAGAATCCATGGAGATGAAACTAACCAATTAGAGCAAAGTGTTCTATAATTCTGATAAAGATTATTGATGGCAGATAAAGGGAGAATAGAATAAGACTTGCGATTCTGGCTTTTGTTACTTGTTATTTATATACGGTAGTTTGTGCTGAACCTAGGTGGTACACGTGTTCACATAAAGCTTCTATTTTACTATGCATGGGTGTTCTTATAACATCGACATTTTAAAGGTTTGATTGTTTCATTTTTTTATTTTGATGCTTTCAATATGATTTTTACTCATCAATTGTTCTAGGCTTTTCCAATTTTTTGTGTGGATAATTTAGATAAGAAAATTTATTTATACAATATTTTTTTTGTATAAGTTTTCACAACTGTGAGAGATAAAAAGAGGAAAGAAATATATATGATATATGATACTTATGTGATGGAGAGAGGGAAAAAAATCGAATTAAAAAAAGTGTAGGTAATATAATTTTTTTTTCTAGATTACTAGCAAATATCTTATGTATTGTGTATATTTTAAATATAATTAAAATGTGAAAAAAATGATAAATTTAGAACATATTTGTAAATATCTCGTTATATTAAATGTAGATTGAAAAAACTGATTCTTGATAAAAGAAATTAAAAGACTAGAAATATAATTTGAGTGAACAATTAATTAAATTTAATACATATATACAAAGTGAAGCAAACACATTGATTGCTTATGTCGTTTTCTTGTGTAAAATTCCGAATAGAATTGCCAAATTTTATACTTTTCCATAGATTTAAACTTGTCAATGCCTCAACAACACTTAATGTGAACCGTGTAAACAGTGGTCCATCGCCGGAGAACATTTAATCAAGTTTGGCAATCTATGAAATATTTGGCAATCTCATGGTGAAGAACAATTTTTAAAATTTCTAGTTTTTTATTTAATTATTTTTAAAAATTGACCGTAATATTTTTATTTTTTATTTTTGGTATTTCAATCCCTTTGCTTTTATTCCTTTTCATAAATATCATTAACTGAATTAATCTACCTGCTGTCAATATTTTTTTTTTTCTGAACTACATCTAAATGCATAGTAAAATAATTATAATAATTTACTATTATAATTCATGTCAATTTGCAATTTTATCTAAAAATTTATGCTTTTTATTTTCGTTATTCAAAAATAAAATAATTTTAAAATATAATATATTAGTTTCCCGATCTAGTTAATATGGTTACGTACTTTCTTACCTTATGTCTTGGTAGGAGAAATGTACAACAAATTGATTGGATATATCTATTTATATTCTCTTTAATTATAATTTCTATATTAGATTTGTGTTTATAAGTTTTTTAAAATAATTTCAAACATACTAATTAATAATTTCTTTTGTAAATATTTGTTCTTATTTATTTTTTCTCAATTTGGGATACATTTCTTTTGAGTAATCTTAATTATTTGAGCTAATGTTTTAATTATTTGAGTTGCCAAATTGGATGCTTCTGACATTATGTTGTATAGAATCTCATAAAAGAGTCGTCAAATTTTATGGTTTTCTATAGACTTAACCCTTAACTATGCCCCAAAATAACACTTAATCCACACCTAGTAAATAATGGTCCATCGGTAGACAACATTCAATTAAGTTTAACAATTTACGATAAATTTGTGAAGTTCAAAAATTATATCTTATGTGAAATGGAAAATTCTAATTAGCATGCGTATAAATACCTTACGATCGTTAATATTCTTTAAAATTTATAAATTTTTCAGCTTTAATACTATTTTAAAGTTGACTATAATATTTTTTAAATTGCGTAAAGGATCCATGTTGTTAATTTTGTTTTTTGCACAAATTTTATTTAATAAATTATTATATATTTACTCTCAATATTATTTTTTATTGAATTAAAATGTAACGCCCAAATGAGGTGAAGAGTTTGTAAATTATTCGATATTGATTCGCAAACTATTTCACTAAATTTGTTTATTTTATTAAATAAACAAGCTTAAATTTAAATTCAAATATTTAAATGAGTTAAGTTTTTTTTATAATGAAATGATTTAAATTTAAGCTTTGAAAACTTGACATTAATAATTCATAAATAGTTAGAATATGTAAATATTAGATGTCAAATTTAGATAGTTACACTGTTTAATAATTTTTTATAAAATATAAATTAATCAATCTAATTTTATATTATTTTTATAATTATATATATCAAACTTTATATGATTTAGATATTTATAAATATATTATTTAAATTTTAACATTTATTTATATTTAGAAGATATTGCATATTTAAAATAAAATAATATAATAAAATATATAATATTTTATTTTTATATAAAATTATTATATTTCATACAAAATTCTAAACTAATATTTCTCATATTTTATAAAAAATTATCAAATAGCGTAAATATTTAAATTTAACTCAAGAAGTAAATAAATTTTAATTTATTATTATTATTGTTATTAAATAATTATTAATTTTTTTATTATATTTATCTAAAGTTTATATTTTTAATTATTATAACTTGGTGTATTATTAACTAGTTTTAATATTTAAAAATTGTATTTTAAACAAGTTACTGTAATTTTTTTAATATATTATTTTTAACCTTAAATCATCTATTCGTAGATAAAATTTTATTTTATTTCTATTTTACTTTACTTTTTAGCATAAAAATATTTTTTAAATATTAAATAAATAACAAATTATTCAAAACTTGTAAAAAAATTATAAAGAAGTTGACTAGCAAGTTTACTTCAAAATTTTCAATCAAGTAAACACTTTAGATGTGACTAATTTAAATATCTAATCAACATTCCTTTTTTTTTTTTTAACTCGACTCAATTCATTTAACATCTAGCTGAATGCATCAGAAATCAGCTGTAATTTTGTGTGAATTTTTTTTTTTCACCTCTTTAAACATGAGATTATTCGTTGTAAAAAGTATTAAATTAGGTTAGAAATAAATCAGTACTCTGATATACTTTCTTACTTTTTTACTTTCAACCTAAAATTAATGTAATAATGATTTTGTTAATTAGCAAGTTTGGTACATGAACTAAACAATAAGAAGACTTACTATAATTAGATCGGGTAGATATTTTGACAGCAAGTTTATAACTATCTTTATTTTGTCTGGTTGTATAATTGAGAAAATATATGGAGAGTGAAAAATAGTTTATTATTTTATTTTTATTAGTTCTCCTCATTAATTTTTGTAAATTTGGAAAATATTTTTCGCTGTTTATTACTCTCCTGTTATATATGTTGTTGTATTGACATTCTCCAGTCAAAATTGTTACGAACTAAAGTCAATACAGTGGTTATAAATGTTTTTGTAAATTAAACTAAAATAATACTTGCAAATTAATCGGGTCCCAAGTTAAATCAATTTTAGTAATAACAAATTTAGTCATTGTTCAATTTTTATAATTAGTTGTTAATTCAATTGCTAAATTGATTATTGAAACATTTGACTATTTTTAATTTTGTTTAATATTTCAAATTAAACAAAATTAGTTGATAATTATAAAAATAATTAAAATCACAATCATGGTTAAAAGTATGAATACATAACATAAAATATAAAATTCATAACAAATTATAAAGGAAAAAACAGTATAAAATAGATAACTCTTACTAAACTTACTAAAAAAATATACAAAATGGCCAAGAGTTACTAAGTAAAAAATTTATAATAATGCATAGTGTGAGTAAAATCCAAAACTACCGTTGCCGCTCAAAACTACCGTTGTAAAACCACTCTGTCTTTGTATACAAATTTATTCTTAAAATATAAAATTTTATTATAAAAATAATTCAAAATAATATTGTATGTTCAATACAAATTCTTATTATAAAAACTAAGAGCGTGTTTTATTAACACTTCTTGCATTAAAGATAAGTCCTCTTACAATCTACACAACTTGATCTTGTTACACTGTGTCTTACCACTGCTACAAATTCGGGTGTGTGACGGATTGGTACTGGTATATTTATATATTTTTTATTAGTTAATTTAATTTAAAAATATTTTTTAAAAAATTATAATTTAAATATAAAAATATTTATTATTTATTAAGTAACTATTAAATAATTTTTTAATGTAAAAATAAAAAATCTTTGATTAAAAAAATATTTGAATATAAAAAAATTATAATACAAATAAAATATTATCTACATAATAGGTTATACATAATTATAATATATACATTCTTATTAGTTTATTTTTAAAAATATTAAAATAACAAAAGAATAAAGTAGTTTAAAAATTTTAATTTAAAATTAAGTAGAAACTATACAAGAAGAATAATTTTATTTAATTAAAAGAATATTCTTTAATAAAAACTTGTTAAATATTAGAAATATATGTACAAAGTTTTCTTAAGTTCTAAGACTACTTTTTGTTTAGCACCGTCATGGATTGGGGAGACCAATGTCACAAGGAGGTCTCCAACCCGTGTCTTTAGCACCACTAGTGGACAATAAAGGGATGAAATGGCTTGAAGTTGGGAAATGCTTGATAGAGAAGCTAGATATGATGAATCAGAGTTCAAAATAGGTTAAGGTGAGTTAAAGTCTTTATTGGAGGAGCTAAAATCATACATGCAAGAGGATTTACCTGCAGATCTTCAGACAAATTAGGTGCTCTTTAAACCTAATTTTTCTTGATCTTTGTCTTGTAAAGATAAGTACTTGAGTTAAAGAGTTAGATTTGATTCAAAATGATGATAATACAGTTAAATATATGTTGAAAGATTTTGATATTGTTTTTGAAAATGAGGATAACAAAGATACTTCTAATATAACTTATAATCTTTGCCATAAACTAGAGATTCTCCTAGAGGACAACAAGACATTGTGTTCCACCTTAATAGTAAATTTTTTAGGTAAATCGATAAACTTTAATTACTTAAATCAGAAGTTAAACAATATTTGGAAGAAAAATGGTTCTCTTAAAATCCTTATTTTTAATAATGATTTTTTCTTAGTTAAATTTAAAAATATAGAAGAC